GAATCGTATTGATGTACAATTTTAGGATGTTTATGACACATTAAATACTCAATAAATTTTACGACCGAAAATTTTCTAAAAAAAGCGGACAGGTTTATTCGTGTAATCGTTTCATTAGATACTGGACGTATGTGGAAAATTTCAATGAGTGAGTCAATCTCGGAAAACCGAATCTTTATGATCAAAGCCGCAACACATTTTTCCAATAAAGTCAGAATCTTGAGGATCCGAATATACTTCTACATTTGATAATGCCTGCATGAAATGTGCTTGGATAGTTTGGCGTGTCAAAGTGAGGAAGTGATGAGTAAAGATCGTAATCCTCAGAAATTCTTAAGTCAAAGTTCATTGGTGCAGGGAGGTGACATCACACAGTCCAAATCGGTTATTAATAGTCAATGTGATCATAGGTTATCAATCACAAATTAATTTCAAATTTCCCTCGTCCTCACATGACGCAAATATCAAAACAAATACACAAACTGGTAAAGTAAAGAGGAATAAATAAATAATAAACAAACGGAATTGTTCGGACGAAGCTTGGCATAATCTTTACTAAAGATGGAATTATGGAATTATATTTTCTCCAAAGAAGAAAAAAGTAGCGAACGTCTTCACGGGACTCTTCCCCCAAAAAACTCTGAATGCAAAATTCCGCCTCGCTTATCATACCAGAAGAAACTTTATTCCGTTGGAGGGACATCATGCCAGATAAGAAAAAAAAAAAGAACAAAAGTTCTAGCATATCAAAATAGCATTCTCCGAGAGATGGCACAAGAATCAGTGAGATTATAAATAAATCCAAGAGATTAATTTAATCGGCAGATATAAATTTAGATCATAAATAAGGAACGGCTTAATTATCATTATTACAAATGAGATGGATTCAATCAATATAACTAAGCCTTGCTTATGTTTCCGAGATTCATCAAATCAAAGTAACAACAGATCGAGCGATAATGAAAAAATCATCAGTAATACAGGTTAAATTAATAAAGATATTTATTAGAACGATGTTACGAGTAACGGGAACGTAGAACCTACACCATTTGTTTATGATACCATTTTCTGATGTAGTAATTTCGTATGATGTTTGTTCCCCGGTTCCAATGAAAAACTAATTGGGTTTCATACGTTGACCCTAAAGGTAAGACGGAAACATGACAACAGTTTCTGGAACTGTTCTTTAATGTCTCAACTTCGATGATGTCCCAATGAGTTATATCTGTTCTAAATCGAAAAGTTTGTTAGACCATTTGACGTGTGCTGATGGACTAGGCCTCTTTAACTTGATGCTAACCAATATTAGCTGCTTTTTGATTGCTGATTATAGTAAATGCTACTCAAGAACCCCTGAATCTCCTGGATAAATGCGCTCTACGGCGATACATATTGGTAACACATTCCATAACAATCATGTTTTTTGAGAGAACAATATTTGATATTAACGGATTTTTTTGACATGTGTCACACGTGCGCTCTGTAGATCTGAAAAAAAATTTGATATGTACAGTACAATAATTTCTATATTTGGCTATTCCTCACTAACACGATTTTTGCTAAAGGAAAACGGTCCTGGTTTTAAACAAACAAGTTATGTTCAACCAATTTTCGATTCATTTTGTGATTATTTGGGGACATCTGACCTTGTAATTGTCTTAATTTTTTTTTTTCTTTTTTTTTTTTTTTTTTGATTCGTAAATAAAACAAGGATCAACGAAGGTGCTTCTTTTTGTTTTTCCTGTATAAAATGCTAAATTTGATAATCAATGTACAGTATTTATATACTGTATACAAGGGTACGTTATGTTAGTATACAAACAAAGATCTAATGATTGCTCGGACGCGTCTTTATGCATTTCTTTTTAAAAAGACAACGGAGTGATTATGTGAAAATAAAAAACCAAAACAAGATGTTATGCTTTAAATCAAATTATTTGTTTACTAATCAATGTTAAGTCACGTTCCGTGATGCACCTTGTTCGTTTAATTAATTTTCACCTTGTCTGGCAAGTATTTCACGAAAATAATCAAAGCACAATCGTATTACACTTGCGCACTTGGACCTGCGACATGTTTTTAAAGAAAAAATTAAATTGTGTCGGCATACACGTAACAAAGTATGCACTGCAATTTCCGATGTTCCCTCCCTCGGTTGTGGAACTTGGACAATTCGGAGATAATTGTTTTTTTATTAGAGTTTCACGATACTTTGCACAAACGTTTATTTCTTGCGTTACGCGGTTTTTGTGATATAAATCCATGAGGCGTACACATTTCGGACGGAGGTATCACATTCTAATTAGCACCAATTTGGATTGACATGGTGTGTAGT